TTTGGTCTGGACATCCACCTAGTCTCGACAAACTGAGAGTATTTGGGTGTGTGGCCTATGCTCATATTAGGCAAGACAAGGTCAAACCTAGAGCTCTGAAATGCATGTTCATGGGATACCCTAAAGGAGTCAAAGCTTATAGGTTATGGTGCCTAGAGCCAGGTCACAGGAGGTGTATCACTAGTCGAGATGTAGTTTTCAATGAAGCAGAGATGGCATTCAAGAAAAATGATGATGCTGACGAAGAGTTGGAACAGGGAGACATTCCTGTTGAGGTGGAACATGTTGATACTGAATTGCTTACCCCAGATGAAGTCGAAGAAGACGCAGAAGATGTTGTTGAAGATGAGGAGATTGATAATGACTACCTGCTAGCAAGAGACAGGTCGAGGAGAGTCATCAAGCCACCTCAGAGACTTGGGTATGCAAATCTTATAACTTATGCCTTAATCTCTGCTAGTGAGGTTCTAGATGAAGAACCTAGAGACTATAAGGAAGTTATGAGGAGTCGAAAAAAGACTGAACGACTGAAGGCCATGGATGATGAGATGAAATCTCTTCATGATAAAAACACTTGGGAACTGATCAAGAAACCTGTTGGAGCCAGGTTTGGTATGTCGATTTCAAAGCCTGTTGTAACTCCGACAAACCCTCAATTTAAGCTGAGTATAGATCAGTGTCCCAACACTGATGTTGAAAGAACTTATATGAATAGCATTCCATATGCTAACATAGTAGGTTCTTTGATGTATGCTATGGTCTGTACTAGACCCGACATAGCATATGCAATAAGTCTTGTAAGCAGGTACATGGCGAATCTTGGAAAGGCTCACTGGCAAGCATTAAAGTGGATTTTAAGGTACATAAATGGGTCTCTGAATAGAGTCCTAATTTATGGTGGAGCCTTAGGTGAAGATAGTAAAGCAGCAATCGAAGGATATGTCGACTCTGATTATGCAGGTTGTATGGATTCCAGAAAATCTATCTCTGGATATGTGTTCACTATGTTTGGGACAACAATCAGTTGGAAAGCAACACTTCAGAAGGTCGTTGCCTTATCAACCACTGAAGCGGAGTATATTGCCCTAACTGAAGCTGTGAAGGAAGCATTGTGGCTTAAAGGTTTTGCAAACGAGCTAAAACTTCAAGGTCGAGTTATCACTGTTAAATGTGATAGTCAAAATGCAATACACCTGTCGAAGAATTCAGCCTATCATGAGCGAACCAAGCATATTGATATGAGGCTGCATTTCATCAGAGGGGTAATCGAGCGCGGAGAAGTCCAAGTGCTGAAGGTTTCGACAAATCATAATGTTGCTGATATGATCACCAAGACGTTGCCCAGTTGCAAGTTTTTCCACTGTATGCAGTTAATAAAGCTGCATGAAGAAAGCTAGTTTCTTGATGTTATAGAGTTAGATCCAAGGTGGAGATGTGTGAGACGTTGGATCTAACTCTAGTGTTGTCGAAGTCTGTTCGCAAGTAATGCATGTTGTAGTCGAAGTTTGTTCTAACATGCATTAGTCAATATTGCTAGGGTTGTTAGCATGTTGAATTGGGTCTTGCTTGTAAGCCCAATTATTTAAGTTAGCTTGTACCCTAAGTTGGCTTGTAATGGGTAATTGTTAAAAAGCCCATTAGGTTAGTGTGTTATTTTTCTTATAAATAGGATGTTAGTTTCTCGATCTTGGAATAAGGAAAAATAGGAAGATAAAATCCTAATTTCAAGGGAGAGAGGTTATTTTGTTATTCTTGTATACTTGTAATCTTGTTCTAAGAGAAAGGAAAGAATAGCAGTTTAATAACCAATCATTATTGTTCCTTGTTGTTTTACCTTGTTTTCTTTGTTAACCCTAACCCTTGTGTGTTTCTTGATCATTAAAAAACCGTTTATACTTTGTTTGAAGGTATCCGATTCACAACACAATACGTTCTGATTTGTAAGACAATTTTACTTGATAATAAGATTACTATATCAAATAACGACTTTGTTTATATTTATTCTTTAGATAAGTGTCGAGATCCTTTTTTATTTATTGTTCCTTTAGGTTGTTTCTGAGTTGTACTGGCTCAAAGGCCTGCTTTTATTCCTGCAACCTGTAAAATATTTTTGCGTTGAGGGTGATTCATATTCGGCTTCAGATTATTTATCACTTAGGTGTGGAAACCTTAGTGTTTTTTATGTAACTTTTAATTGTTCTACCCGACAGTATTTTGCTGCTCTGCATGGCTTCTGGTTTATTCGCGCTCTCGTGGTGAGGCAGGAGCCCACCCATATGTGGTCGTATATTTGTATTGTGCTTCACATCATAAATTACTGTTCCCCGACCAAAGGAAGGATCCCCGTCCCTTGCCTCCGAGTTAAGACTCGGTTCGAGGTGGAAGTTCTCTAAGAGCCATCATTAAATGCCCTTGGATTGGCTAGACCCTAAAGGGGGTGTGCCAACTATGCATAAATGAGTGTACTCTTTGATTGTGGAGATTTGATTGTTGTAGTCACATGTGCTAAGCGTCAGTGACAACACCTCTGAATGTCTTTGTGTGTTCTATGTGTAATGGAGATTTGATTGATGTAGTCACATGTGCTAAGCGTCTTCCACAACACCCCAGAATGTCATTGATTTGGGCATCCACTATGTTGGTTGTAATCGGGTTTGCTCTCATCTATATTTTCTCTATGGTGCTCCGAAGAGAGAGAAAAACAGAAAGCGAATAATAGATAAATAATAGACAAGAATATGTGTTCAAAGACACATCCATATTTGTAATCGAACAATAGATTTGTAGAGAAGTAAATTCATAAAGGAGGTGGTTAGGATGTGATGTTTATCCTCTCTCTAGTGCCTTGTTAGTTGGCTCGACTATGGACTGAGACGGTCGGGATGTCCATCTTCCTTGGAACTCGCCGAGATTTTCTTTATCGGACATCTCCAAATAAACGGTGCCTTTATGGGCGTGATCCAGTGGTGTATTATGGGGCCTTCTCCTTCCTTTTCTTTGGGTGTTCCATTTCCCGAATCTTCGAGGTGTGTGCCATGTTTCTTTCTTCTACTGAGGTGTTTCTTTGTAGATCGATGAGATCAGCGGGGTTATGAGAGAGATATTAGGAAAAACCCAACTCTCACATTGGTTAAAGATAGAACTCACAAAGTGTTTATATAGAGTTACAACCCTCACCTTACAAGTCGGTTTTATAAAGTTGAGTTAGGCCAAACTCTAACTCTTTCATGATATGAGAGTCTGATTTAAGATCTAGTGGGTCACCTACTATAATATTACGAGCCTATTGATTCGGGTCACCCACCATTTATATATGTGCACCAAATCCAAAAAAATGTGTTGGGCACAAGGGAGTCTATTGGAAAAACCAAGTCTCATATATCGGTAATTTGGGTCACCACCATTTATATACATGCATCAAGCCAATAGTCGGTAATTCGGGTCACCTACCATTTATATCCATGCACCACGCCGTTAAAGATAGAATTCACAAAGTATTTATAAAAAGTGACACCCCTCGTCATACAAACCGATTTTATAGGATTGAGTTAAGACAAATTCTAACTCTATCCGAAAAAATATTGATTGACTCGTCTGATCGAATGTCTCTTATGAAATATTGGTCAGAAAGGCCTTCTGCCGCATTTTCGAGTGCAATGAGGATGTCTCACTTCCTCCCCATCCACCATTCGGCTAGAATGGAGTTGAAGAAGTTTGATCCACCTAGGATTCTAAGTTTCTCTGACATTTCCGAGGCTTCTCGCTGGATTCCCAGGGTGGAGAGGGCCTTGTGCCCCTAGTTCGGGTCGATGGATCTCCGATATTTCTATGGCTTCGGCCTGTATGTCATTGTTCGAGTGCTACGGCTTACATTGCGCCTAGTAAAGACCTGATTGATTCTGGTAGGACAACTGTGGTTGCCAGGGGGCTGCATTAGTAGCAGGCGGATTTTCTTTTTCCTCCAAAGGCTTCCACCGCATTTGAGAGCTGGTTCCCAGTTATGTTCCATGATCCATCTTTGGTGCTATGCCGGTATGTTAGAAGGGACAGACGATCTTCATTGTGACAATGCGATGTGATGGAATAGCAAGGGGATATCTGATGTTCTGCGTGGTGACGTTGCACTGCACGTTCTGCGACGGTAGCCACCCCAGTTGCAATTATGCTCTGGGAGTTTGGTTAGCTACGATGTGATATAGCCAATTTTGAAACGACCTTTTGGATGCTTTTTTCCTCATACGAGGTGAATCAGTTATGGAGCTGCAACAGAGGAAGTCATGACGGAAAAATCTTGTCAATGACGGACGATCGAAACGGTACGTAATCAGAAATTCTATTAGGAGTGATGCATAAGATCTTTAAAAATGATATTCTGAAATTCTATTAGGAGTGATGCATGAGATCTTTAAAAATGATCTTCTGCTTTTGTGCGACTCCAATATGGATCCGGATCTGAGATAATCTATTCTCACGTTTGCGCGTAATTTGAAAATTCAGAGATTCAGTTGATCGGAGTTGAAATAGAACTCAATTAATCCGAACGCCGCGGATATACACGTTTACTCTTAAAAGATCTCCACTAAGTTACCGAAGAAGGATTCAATGAAAAGAACTGAGAATTGCAAATAAAATTACATATAAATCAACAGAGGATAAGGTACAAACGCTTAGAATATATATACAGCTATTTCTAACCCAAACTTAGTAAAACCTACCTAAACACAAAAGTAACTTCTTTGACACCACACTTTGTCCAAAAAAATTGTATAATATACTTCCCAATAAGTGCATCTGAGGTGGGAAAAGAAGCTTCCAAACACAAATTATTCAAATTCACTATTGCTTTTGAGGCCATTGTGTTCAAAATCCAAACCATCACTGTGTTAGTCTTCACAATCACCACCATTCAATTTAGCAGGTGTTGTTGCTGTTGGGTTTTGCCAAGTAGTAGCACAAATTCTGTGAACAAGAGACGACTATATATGTTAATCCTTTACTTGTTAGCTAACAGCAGGTTGAATAATTGGGAAGAAAGACCAATCCTTTGAGGCCCCTCCTTCATTCCCTGCAACTTTCTCATTAGCCCACCAATCAGCAGCTATATTTGGTGCATGAGAATCGCCTCCATCTGCACTGTCGAAATTGAATTCTTTCGTGGAAGACGAAGAAAGGGTTAATGATTGATCCTTCTCATGAGCTGTTGCATCGTCTCCAACCAAAGCGGGTTTTGTTTGCTTCGGCGCATCAATAAGAGTTTCTGTTACAACTTGTTTGTCATCACAGTCATTCTCTTCTTTGCCTGTTGTTGATGCTGCGGCATCGCTTTTGAATTTCGACAGGACTTTAGCCCATGCTGATGATGTTGTTGGCTTGTTTTCCACAGTGGCGGATAACTCAAATGAGACCCGATGATTTACACTTATCTCATTTCGGCGGCTGTTGATCGGACAAGGGGAGATTTTGATATCAGAAACCCAATTGGTTGGATGAAAACCAGCTTGTGTAGTAGTGGTGGATTTTACTGTATCTGGTGTTATGGACCCCGAACTTTGATTCGACTTCTGTTTTCCATAAGTTGAGAGGTTATCCAGTTTAAGAAGCTTAGCAGTGTCTGCTGTTTGAAACTCATCCGGCAAAGGAGACGAGGTACCAGACACCGAGATTGCGGATCTTGGTGATATTAGCGGACCAACCGGGCTTCCAGGTTGAAACTGATAATTTTGGAAGTCATAGTGAGATATTTGGAACCTCTGATAAGTCTCCGAGTTTCTGTTATTGGAGTCAAATAGCTGAGCAAACGGAACCTCAGGCGAAGACGGCGTGGTCAATTGGAGAGACTCAGGAGGTGGAGTGAAAGGAGCGGTTGACGAAGCCGAGAAAACAGGCGGCGAAACTAATTGTGTTTCATGCGCGTAAGGGCCAATGGCGAAGATTGAGTTAGGCCCGCCAGGCGAGTACATGCTTGCAGATACAGAAGTTTTAGATACTAAACCGACCGGTGATTGCGCGGTTGAAGGAGGTTCGGATTGAAAGAATGACGCCGGAGACGAAGGAGGAGCAATGAAGGGAAGTGTTATACTCGGCGGCGCTTGAGCAGTTGAACTAACAACATTAGCAGCAGCAGCAGCATCTGTTCCAGCAGCTGTTGTTTCTGGAACAAGAACAGCATGTCCAATGCGCTTTCGGTTGTTCTTCTGATATCCGAAACACCCGGTTATGTTCAACCAGTTTCCCCATTTTTTCTTCTGCAAACACAAGTAGCTTAGTTAAGTTTCAATCATAGAAAACATTGTTATGTGTTACATTGAAATTAACTAAGACCTTAATTTTAAACTTAAGGATTCTGATTCAATCTTCAACTTCTTGTTACTCCTAGTTAAAGTTTTTGGTATTAATCAATATGATTACCATAAAGTAAGATTTGTTTTATAACAAAAAAAAAAAGAAAAAGCACACAAAATATACAATTTTCATCATACACATATATATATGGAAACAAAAAAGATGTATTCTTTTCGGAAAAGAGATCAATTATTGAAGTTGAACCAAAAAGGCTAAAAGTTTATATATCATCAAAACAATCAATAAATAGATATAACAAATACATAAATTTCTCTCAGAAAATCAATACCACTTTCTAAAAAGTTGTGAGTATTATTGGACTATACCTGATTAACAGATTGAGAAACATGATTCTGAGAAGAAGCTATAGCAAAAGCAGCAGCGTTTATAGTATCAAAAGTGTTGTTGTTGTTATTGTTGTTGTTGGAGTCTCTTCTGTAAACCCTTGTCATGTTTCAGCGATGAGAAAAAGCATGTGGTGGAAGATAGAATGATGAAGAAGGAAGAATGAAAAGTTGAGAAATGAAATGTGAGATTGAATATAAGAACAAGAGATTGGTTATAGAAGCGTGTAATTTGTGTCGTGTGAGAGAGTACAAACCAAAGGTTGTGAGTCAGGTCAAACACGGCAATCACTCGTGTGGTTTAACAAAGACTTTGCTTCTCTTAATATTATATTTTGTATTTATGATTATTAATGTGATTAGCACATGATGTTACCAATGTTGTTGATTAATCCAACTAGTGTTGATGTTTCATTTTTATATTTTGTCGTATGGTAGAAGATGCTGTTTTGACTAGTCTCATAAAGTAACTGCATTTATTAATGGAGTAGGTTTAACAAACTTATTACTAGTAGTCAAGAGAGTATGTTGATTTTAGGGTTTAAACTCTAGATATTTTTATCAGTGCTTCAAACTAGGTGTCTACTTAACTTAGGACAAATTTAAATTTATAATTTACTATGTAGTGGTATGTTTGCATTGTTTTATTATTGATGCTCTTTTTCGCCTTTTTCTTTGCTAAACAATTTTTTATTTATAAGATAGAGTAGTAGGGATACTCAATCTCACAAGGATTATTACAAGTTTATAAAATTTTAAAGATTTTTACATTAATTATAAAAAGTAAAATTCGTCCTATGTTTGACATCGTAAGCCGTCCAAAATCAAGATATAAATTTAATATTGGACATAACATCATCAATTGAGGTAATAAGATTATTGAACATGTCAAACCACAATCATCCAAATCAAACTCGCCTTCAATTTCCTCACTTTCCTTCTAATAGCCAAACAAAAACTTTCAAAATTCTAGAGACGGTCTTCATGAACCACGTCATCCATATTCAACCATACAAACATTTTTTTCCATACCTTCTTATTAACTTTACAACAAAAAAATAGATGAGAAAGAGTTTCATCTTCTTCAAAACAACACGCACAAACCTTCTCATAAGAATTACGAATAATCCCTCTCCTAGCCAGCTAACCTATAGTTAGAATTTTGATTTTAGACGGTACTTTTGATAACCAAATATGTCTCACCACTTTAGTGACATCTTCATCCCACTTATCTTCCTCTTCAACCAAGCTCAGCTTTGCATAATAACTATTGACAAGGAATACACTATCGGTACAGTTCCTCCAACATAAGACACCGCCAGAATCGAGAATTAGCAAAATTTCGTTCAGAATTTTCATTTGTTCTAAGCATTGCTCTGCTGCTTTGAAATTATCACAATAATCTTCAAGATAGAAATGCCACTCCCACCTATCATCCATCTAAGAACCAACTTCAGCCAACACAACATCTCTGTTCACATAAACCTGAAACAAAATAGGAAAAAAATACATCAACGACATACATCCTTACCGCATGTAATTCCATAACAATATTCTATTTCCAGCACCCAATTTGATCAATACATTTTCAACGAACCAATTTTGGCCCAACTAGAAGTTCCTACATAGGAGATAAATATCTTTTCACCAAGTTTAAAAAAAAAAACTTTTATACCTCTAGGAACTGCATCGTCCATGACTTGCTTCTGCATATTTCCACATCTCGAAATCAAGAGGTCCCTCCAAATAGCATCATCCTCTTGTAAGAACCTATATTTCCACTTCCAAATTAATGTGGCGATAAAAAGTCTCAAAATTCCTAACACCCAACCCTCTTTTTCTTCTGATTTACAAACTTACTCGACTTTATCCAATTTATTCTCTTCTTCTTTTCAAAACCGTGCCACCAAAATTTGCTATAGATTTTATTTATCTCTTTAATTATCTTCTTTGGAGCTTTATCGAATGACACGAGGAACACCAGAAGATTTGCACGAACCGAGTTCAATAAAATTGCTCTACCTCCAATAGAAAAACTTATGCATTTCCAAATAAAAAGCTTCCTTTTGATGCTACTTATTAAAGGCTTCCACATATCACAGATATGAAGATTACACCCTACCGGAATACTAAAAAAGTTGAAGAGGATAAAATTGATGTTTTAAGATAAAAATTAAGAAGATGTCTCCATAAAAGACTCCTAAATATGAACATCAAACAACTTGCTCTTGAAGAAATTTACTTTTAATTCTGACACCATTTTAAAACCCCTCAAGATTTCCTTTATACTCCACAAATTCTCCCAACTTCCTTTCTCTATGATGATCGTTTCATTTGCAAACTAAAGAATCTTCTGCTCATTACCGTTGTCATACTGAAAGCCTTCAAACTCCCTGATACTAGTTGCCTTTTTGATTGAGCAAGTTAATCCTTCTGCTACTAAAACAAAAAGAAAAGGGGACAGAGGTCCCCTTGTCTTAAACGACGCTCAACTTAGAAATCATTTGATGGGCTTCCGTTGACCAACACTGACATAGTACTGCTGAAAACAGTTGCTTCTATCACACAATTGTAGGTGTTGCAAATGTGTCTTAAAACCTTTGTTGATGAAGAGAAAGAAAATATATTTTGGTGATTGCATTTACCACAAAAAATTGGACGAAAAATCGAGAAAAGAAAAAAAATTGGACGGTGAATAGTGTCGTCTATACGGTGAATAGTTTTATACGTACGGATGAATAGTGACTTCCGTACGGTGAATAGTATTTCCGAGTTTTCGGGCTTTTTTCAATTCGGTCCATGGATCCATGTGATTTTGGGATTTGTTTGTTGGGTATTTGCTATTATAAATATGTATCTCTTATATGTTTGGTGTGTGACAACCTTAGAGTTTTCACCAACAAGGAAAACCAATGGTTTAAAGGTATAACATATGGTTTCAGCTATGCACAAAGAAAATCTTGGATTACACATTGGATTTGAGCGATTCATATATTGAGAGTTGGAGAGGTAGAGAAACACTTGGGTAGAAAATAAAGTTGTTCTTGGGCGCCTTCTGGATTGTTCTTGAGAACCTAAAGGTGAATGTTATTTTCTTGTAACTCATCTGTAATCTCTTGTAACAACTTTCTGAGTATAGTGAACTGTAGAGCTGCTCTCTCCTCCAGAGTAGATCGTTTGGTTGCTATTGTTCTTTGTCTCACAAATTGATATTGAATTTTATCGTAATTCACAACAAGATTCACAACAATAGGCTTATTCAAAGTTGACTTTCAGCAACAAACACTCATTCTTCTCTTTCTTTGCTATGTGAAGAATCTCATTAGGCACTAGAACGTCATTCAACAATTGTCTCCCCGACACAAAAGCAATTTGAAATCGAGACACCACTTTGCAAATGATCCTTTTTAGCCTTGCTGCTAGCACTTTGACAAAATTTTGTAAAGACAACCAACAAACAAATAGGTTTGTAATTTCCTAACTTTTGAGGATTTAGAGTCTTAGGAACAAACACAATAAAAGAAATCATTATCGCTTTGAACAGCTTCGCAAACGAATGAAACTCATTCATGAACTTAAGTAAATCAACTTTCAAAATACTTTAGAATTTTTAAATAAATTCGAAGTTCATACCATCCAGTCAAAGGCTTTTAGATCCATCACTATTCTAAAAATTAGTCGTAATTTCTTCTTGCTAAACAATTCATATTATTATTGTGTATCGAAATCTACCCATTTAAATTAATTTATCAGTTGATTTGTTTAATTAGTATTAAAATTTGTTTGTTAGGATATATGTGAGTCATGTTTTGAGACTCCACAATTCTATATAGATATGGTTAAACAAATTTATTTAGTTTAATATTTGACATTACTATTAAAAATTGAGATTACAACGGAAATTATAGATAAAAAATACTAAATCTAATAGTACAAAATTTGGTCTTTTAATATTTAAACAATTGGGCTAATTATTGGAATGAGAAATGAAATATATTGTATTAAAATAAGTGTATATAAAATAAAAGTGGAGTGATGAATTACGTTATTGGGAGTGCACGTGTGCAAACTCATCTGGTGCCCATCATCATCCCACTCACAAACAAACCATAGTGGGACCCACCGCTATCTAAATCTCACCTTCCAAACTTGTTTCCTTTTCACTACCTTTACCATTTACACCCACCCTTAAACCAAATTTATGTTGGTAAGTAATTTTCTCTGAAATCTATGGCATAAAAGTATCACTTGGGTTTGGATGACTTTAGAGAGGGAAAGTCATTCTAACTTTCTCTCTATCTCTCTCCTATATCATTCTCTCTCATCTACTTAATAACTTTTTTTTTTGTATTTTTTAAAATAAAAAAATTATAAATTTCTTTTACATATAATTTTATCTTACATAAAAAAAATTGGTTGTGTAATTATTTTATCTAATAATTTAAATTTTCATCAATAAATAAATATCATCGATAATTTAAATCTAAATCCGCGACTCTACAATTGAATGTTTCTGTGTAATATTAATTAAGTTAAGCATAAAACAATTTTACATGCATGCATGACCTATTTAAGGAAAAATTATGAAAGTAAAACAATTTTACATGCATGACCTACTTAAGGAAATATTTAATAATTTTTAAGGTTACTACGTTTAAGATGGACAATACCATTATCTTATTGGAGTACACAATTATAGTTTATCTACTAGGTTGAAATTTTGCTATGTTGTTGTTGAACTAACATGTTTGAAAAAAAAAAACCAAAGCATTGAACAACTCCACGATATTGAAAAGTGGCCCAACTTACATAGATTTTATTTATAAGGTAGTGATTTCAAAAATAGAAATTGTGTAAAAATAAATAATAATATTTTCTTTATAAAAAAAGAATAATATTTTGAATAATTAAATCTATAATTTGTACTAATTAATATTATCATCTACTATTAGTTAACAAGTATTTTTAAGACCGATGTTAAAAGGATAATTTTTGTTATTTAGTATTTTTTGTTTACTTGAACACGCAAAAGAAATATGATGAATAATTAATTACCTACCTAAACTTTGTAGAAGCCAATTGTGGCCTTAAATCTGTTAAAGGCAAGA